CACTTCCTCTTCTGGTTTTTCCATTCAAGTCATACATAATACAATGAAGTTATTTTTTCCCTTAGTCTAGAATTCAGCTCTCACATTATTCTGTCTCTCCACAACTTTGTGCACACAGACACCTACTTTGTAATACGTAAAATGATAAAGAAAAACAAAAACCCAGAAATGTAAGCAAATGGATTAGAAAAGATTCATTGCATATAGAAGAATAAAGTTATTTTTACTACCTGCTATTGCCAGTCTGCCCTGAAATTAATTATCGCATTTCCTTCAGCTTTTAAATTAAGCCCAAACTCAAACTTTTGCAGGAATAAATTATTCTCATGCCTCATCTAGAAGAGCCTCGTAGCACCTTAAAAGTCCTCAACTAAATGAAGGCTGTTACCTCAAAAGAACATATTTTTATATGGGTATGTTGACAACTAAAATGCAGCTATTTCTATCAGATGCTTAACAGCTCAGCATCAGCATTCAACACGTTCTTCTCACAACCAAGCACAAAACCTAAAATGAGATGGAAAAGAACTGTTGCAATATGAGGCAACCCAAAACAGCTGCTGCTTTCTTTGAAGTAATACTCCATTTAGAAAAAGCATCACACTGGACTTAGCTATCACACCAATCTGTAGGATAATAATACAGATCAGCATTTCAGTTTGAAAACAGAGCGAAATCCACAGATAACTAAGGGAGGGATGACAATGCATGCAGTCCTTAGGCTTTATCAGTGCAAGGAGAAAAACTGCAAACAGATCTTGCAAAATCCATGTGAATGAACAATTCAAAGTAAGTAAATAAAAACTCTAAGCCTATGCCTACACACACAATATACTGATTTTAATTCCAATTTTCCCAGCTCACAACTCAGGCAAGCCAAGAGAGCTCTGCCCTGAAGCCTAGAGATTTCTAACTCTGTTCACCCTCCTCCCTGTTCAGATGTGGAAGAACACAGCTGTGATTCAAAACTCTAGCGTAAGAGGAAGCTGACTACTGCATTCCTCATCACCTACCTGTCTGGGAGGTTGAAGACATTCTTGAACAGGCCATTTCCCCCAAGCAACAGGAAATTATATTTGAAAAAAAAAATATTCACGTATATTTATGTGTACCTTCCTATAAAGTAAAAGCAGATTCTCCAGTTACCTCAAATTTGCAAACAGTTGCATGGACTCAGCAAGGGAAAATAGTTTTGTACTACAGAGATATGACCTTCTTACAGAAAAATAAATCAATTACTTGAACCTAACTGTTATAGAAGAAAAAAAATCTGACTGATAATTTACAGCTTGGACAGCACTCAAAATCTCTCGTTATAAAGTCAGGCTCAGGACAAAGGGCAGCAGGCACAAACCAGCTGCCCTGAGAGCTTCTGGAGTGTCCTTGTCTGGAGATACTTAAAACCCACTTGGGTGCTTTTCCTATAGTAAGCTACTATAGGGAACCTGCTTAGCAGGGGGCTGGACTCGACAACCTCCAGAGGTCACTCCCATCCCTACAATTCTGTAATAATACTGTGCCCAAAGGGCCTTTCTCCTGTACCCCACCAAGCCCTTAAGTTCATGGATCTCAATTAGGATCAGATTCCAACAGAAATTACAGTGGCATCCAGAACTCAGAGCCATGTTTTCATTAGGGAATTAGGTTCTTCCCCTACTTGTCCAACAAGATGACAGGCCTTCAGATAAGACAAGACTGAACACATCTCCAGTTGCTATTTGTACATTCTTAGCAACCTCTTTTTTTCTGAAAGTGGGAAACAGCGATAAAATCTACAAATCATATGGCAGGATACAGAAGGTGGTTTCTGACCTTTTGATCAAGGCATTCTTTGAAAGGAGTCTCCCTTATTAACAGTCATTAAACCTTTCTGGTGATGGATTCTGGGATAAGGAATTAATTAAATGGCCTTCGGTACAGAAGAGGACAGTAGATACTTCTAATTCAGTTTAGCAGAAAGTCAGACTTAGCTAGCTTGCTTTTTATTGTATCAGAATGGATTATAATATTAAAATAATTCTGAATTAATACAATAAATTTGGTGAGATTATCACACGTTGCACGTTATCTGGTTGTACAGGAACAATACCAATTCAACTAAGATTTGAGGCACTGGAAATCTGAAATATTAATTCAGGCAGCTCAACATGCAAATAGCTCCCTGCTTCAAAAACTGCGTTGGGGCAAACTGTTACAAGAATCCTCATTAAAGAGTTTCATAATTAAATGGTTGGGCATTTGCTCTGCCAAAGTAGGCATGAGGGGTCCTGTATGCCTACTCTGAGAAGTACAAAAAGATGAAAAAGCTGCTGAAGCAAATTGAAATCCTTTGTTGCTATTTTCCTCTGCTACCAAGGAGTAACTTGGCAGTTTTAGAGCAAAGCCTTTGAACGAAGGTAAGCAACCCACTTTCTTTGTTACGCTCCATGTTGTACACAATACTTTGCTTTAAGGATTTACATCTGGAATATTTGAACAATTCAAAATTGTGTATAACTAGGCAATCACCAACAGCTATTGTATGCAAAGGGATGGCTTGACTTTCAGGTATGCTATTTCAGAATCTGAAGTTAAATTTCAGGGGAAGAAAAGTTTTAAACAGATTTTTTACTTCATATTTTCTAAATAGACTCCTGTAAATGTAATTTAACTGGCAACTGTTGTCCTGACTGTAAGGTTATAGATAAGACATGGAAAATTAAAGCCTAGAATTGCTCTAAGTTCAGCCCACCAAGAAGAGGGCAAATGAATGTATTTTTTCTTCTGGACAAACTTGTTTTTAGAAGCAAGTTTATGTAAATCCATATAAACATTACTGATGTACTTCAAGTGTTCAAATCCACTGGACTCAAGCACGCTTCCCTATGCTGCTGTGCAATGACAAAGTACTTACAGATCTAATCTTCCTTCCATTCTCTTTTCTCCTCTCAACCTGGTTCAACAGAGAACTGAATAATTGAAATGAGGATAAAGGGCAAGTCCTGGTACTCACGAGAACCATAACAGTCATGGATATTGTGTTTCTTACAATCTGAACTCATTCATAAACCCTACCACTGCAATTGCTTGGACAGAGATCCAGCAGTCCCTTCTCACATAAGTATTTTGGTATTGTTTCTCTGACAAACGCCAGAGGTACTTTGAGATCTCCTTCAAATCTTCCTTTAGCCTTAGGGAACTCTCAAAGTTTTCACTGCATATTTCTTAGCAGTACATCCAGTTTTGTGTTAAGTACTCTACTTTTCCAGTGTTGATTTAACAACCGACTCCTGGCATTTGTGCAGGCCTCTCTGTGCTCATTTGCAAGTTTATTTCCCTCACCACAAGATGCACCTTGGTTCTAATTTACCAAGCATAAATATTCTTACTTACCAACAAACTCGTGCGTTCTCACATAGAAATACAGAAGTGTTTTGGTAATTCTGTCAACACCAATGATTTATCAGGCCAAATTACTTAAAATGAAAGAAGCATGCTCCAAGTACTTTTTTTCCTAGCTGTTGTCCAAACGAGCCAGGTTTTGTGCAGTGGACTTTTCTGAAACAGGATACTTTTCCCTGGTACAGATAAATAAATGAAATGGAATTTCCAGAATGACCTATCTCACACTGAGATCATTTCAATTTAGCTTAGTTATTGACAGAGCCTTCTTCTCAGCTTTCCTGAAGAACTTAAATAAAAAACACATATTGTTTTAAAAGCATTAGCAAAGAAATTACTGTAGACCACACAGATATGAAGTAGATTCCAAAGTTTTCTTCCAGTTAGTTTCCAAATTCCTTGAGAGAGTCAGGAACAATGCCCTCCTGTAATAGAAAACAGATTCTAGTGATAGAGCCACAATAAACGATTTGTTGGACACTTTTGTTGAGACTAGAGGCTGCAACATAGACCTGTAGCAGCCCGTAATCATCCTATCCTCCATCTTCAACAGAAACATTGACTCTTCCACTGACTTTAGTGCTGAGGATGAGTTACCACAGTGCAACAGCTATTCTACATTTTACTTCATTTTGGTTCCAGACCTGAAGCAGAGCCCATGGGTCAAAAAGCCAGTCAGCTTCCTTAAATCAGCTGCTGTAGCCACGAGAAAAGAGAGATACTACCTGTTCTTACAGACTGTCTCACCAAAGTACCCAATGGGATTTTCTAAGGGTTCTGGGAAAGTTATCCTGTTTATTTCAAGTAATTTGGGAAAGTGCCAGAAAATAAGATTCAAATTTAAAAAGTATATATACACCCCTATGCACACCCCAAGGAGTATAAGGAAGAAATGGGTTAAATGTGAAGTCAGTTTCAATTAAGTGAAGAAATCTTAGTGACTTCAGTAATAGCAGAATTCCTTCCCCCTGCTTTAACGCATGCACTTCCCTTTTAAGCAGAAACTAAGCAGCACTGGCAATGGTGCTGCTAGTTCCAGCAAAGCTCCCAAATACTCTGCTCACATAGACTGTATGGGCTGTCAAGCATTAGATTATTTATGAAATGAAGAAAAACTCAGAAGCAATTGACAAAATGAACAGCTGGATCACCGCATTTACCAAAACTGTAATCTGGCTTAAGCACAATTTTATTTAAAAAAAAAAAGTTCAGCTCTCACCTATATATTATTCTGGAACCCCGTGAATCAGCAGATAGCTACTCTTTATTGAAAAGCTTCCATCCTTAAGTCACCTTTACTTCCCCTTGGTACTTTGCAGAAAGTGTGGAAAGAACTACGCCATCAGTCTTCAGTATAGGTAACTGCCTACAACTGTCCAGAATCTAAATTATTCAGGATGGAAAATCAAATTTTTATACATAGACTTTGAATAAACCAGATGTTTCACAGACTACAGAAAACATAAGTGAACAGCAGCCATGTAACAGACATTTTCAAATACCTGCAATATACTTAGCATCGTGTCAGAGTGTTCCTGTTCTCCTCCTCCCCTTCCAAATTCTCCCAGGCTTAAAAGCATCACCAATAACCAGATGTTTAAAGGAAATCAGACACTACACAGGTTAAACAACATCATTCTATTAAAAAACTATCTTTAGCCATGGCACTCAGTGATAGCAATACAATACTTTTTCTTTCCACAAAGCAACTAATATAAAAATATGTCATAAAATCATTTGTAGACCAGTATACTAATACATACACGTAATCATAACATTCTTTTATAAACTCTTTCCTGAGATACCTTGAGTTATTTGATTCTTCTCGTATTACCAGATGCATTATCTTTATGATTCATTTGAAACAGCCATAAAATATTTTGCATGTGCAGAACACTAGCAGTACATGTAAAAAGTAGCATGTAAATATATGGCAAAGAAACAGCTCTTAGAAATTATGTTTTTTTTCACTTCGATTTTTTTTTTTTTTAAACCATTTGGCTCCTTGGGAGGTGGAAATGTGGAACATGGAAAACCTGTAAGCAGAGCTATGAATTGACAAAAAGCAGGAAAGCATTGCAGGAATGTTAGAAGTTGGAATATAATATAAATGACACAGAGAAAGCCATAATTCATGTTGGCCATGTATTGCCTTATAAAGCAACCGGACATATTTTAGGTCAGTTCACAGTATAATAAATATTTTTACTAATCTGCTTTGGAAGAGCAAATGTCTTTAAGGGTTTCAAGCTCCTCTATAAGTTTCTGGTTCTGAACTTCTAGCACTGCAACACGACTCTCCAGACATTTTATGTATTCTTTCTTCCGACGTCGACATTCTTTAGCAGCTTCCCTGCAAAAAGCAGAAGTAAAAAGTGCAAACAAAAAGCCATTTTCATGCTATTAGAAAGCTCAGCAGAGTAGAGAGACTACAACTGAATTCCAAATTTTGGAGCATCTCCCAAATAAGTCTGAAAACTTTAAGCAAAACTGGGATTCCACAAGGGCCTCAAGTGTCTCTTTCTCAAGTTCATATGGCAATCTGTAGAATTGCTTCCTCTCATGCCTTGATTAAAGTTCATAATAAACAAGGTCCAAATGAAAGACAGTTATTCTGCTTTATGACAATAAAGATCTTTGAGGGCCTTGAGTTCCTCAATGAGAGTCTTGTTTTGGTTTTCAAGCACAGCCACACGATTTTCAAGACATTTGACATATTCTTTCTTCTTTCTGCGACATTCTCTGGCAGCTTCCCTGGAACCAATACAAGGCAAATGACTACAGGAACAGCCACAGTATGGCAAAGACTGGATAAATGAAATTACCTGCAATCCCTTTGGTTCCACAATAATAACAACCACCACCACCACCTCCACCAACTGTTGGATTGCACAAACAGAACAGCACGTAACAGCCACAAGCAATAGCGTGGTTAAAATGCAATTTAAAACAATGAGAACAACTGGAAACAAATTCATCACCAACAAACACAATAATGGAATTAATGCACAGAAGAACGGAGAAAAGCACAGTAAATGATGACATAATGACCTGAACTGTAGGACACAAGACTGAAAGCAGCACTTCCTTTTGCAGTCACACTCCATTCTGTGTGTTTATCAGGACTGTGACCGCCACATTCAAATTCTTACATTCAAACCCAAAGAATTTACTTTCAGAAAACACAAATTGAACACTACACTCTTCAGATGAAAAGCTAGACGCCACATTTAAAACTTGCTGTAGTTTTTTACCATAATGTAGCCATCTACAGTAGAAGTCCAAATAGCTACAGTATGCCAGCATTTTGAACTGTCCATATCACGGTGACTTTTTGTTGTTGGCAAATGGCAGCCCAGAGCCATTCCCATAGCTCCACTCAGAACTCTTATGTCAATGACTTTAAACAGTATTTTCAGAACGAGGGCTACAGACTTTAGATAGTATTTTCAGAAGCATGTCTCAAAACAGCATTCAATTATAGAAGAAATTTTATATGCAATAGGATTCCACTCCTTAAATGTTTTGGAACTACTCAAATTGCCAAACTGTGAGAACAGAACTTTGCAGTAAAGTTATTTTCAGAGACAGAATAAAGACTAGTTTTAAAAACAAAGTGGAAGAACAAAGGGGAGCACAACAACATAGCAATCTCTGTGAGAAATTTTAAGTAAGAACAGGCATGAGAGCAAAGCAATACCATGAATTCAATCATAAGGCAAGTGGCTATTCAATATACAAGAGATCTGCATAGCAAACTACTTTTTCCTGAGGCATTAACCTCATTTCCATGGATAGAAGTAGCTATGCATTTAAAAAAAGGAGAAAGCCCCCTAAAAATAACAAGAATAAGCAGATAAAGGCAGTTATATAAAGACAGATAGTTACAGCATATAGTTAATTACATGCCAACTAATTTAAAAAAAATATACAGCCACTCCACACAATATTCTAAATGACAGGAGCACTGTAGAGTGACTTATCTGAGGCAGATATATAGAAAATTCTACAATTATCATCCAGTTACAGCCTAAGTCTTCCACACAGCATTATAGACAGCTGCTAATGAGATTCTCAGATGTTCTTACCAGTTCTTTCCCAGGATGTTGCAAGACAAGCATGCCCATATCGGTCATTTTATTGTCAGTGGGGAAAAATATCTTTCAACAATAAGTATACATCTGGATTACTATGAAAATGACCACTAATGGACAACATCAATACTGATTTTTGAAATACCATAAAATTAAAGACTAAAAACCCATGGGGATAAGACCAATATTAATCAGTGCTATAAGTATATGGAATGATTCACAAAGAATTTCTTGCCTTCCCTTTGTCAATCACAGACAGGGCTCATGACTTTAAGAAAAAACTTCATTAGAATGTGAATTTTTTAGCTTTGTTTTTGTTATGTTTGGGTTTTTACTTTCCCAACAGTAGCTATTAATGAGGTGTTCTTACCTATTTTTCATAAGTCGCAGCTCCCTCTTGCGTGTTGCCTCTTCTGCCAGTTGCTGAGGACTATGCAGAGCCCCTGGTGAGGCTGCCATTACCACTCCCTGAGGTAAGTTAGTAGTGGGAGTCCGCAGCTGGTAAGATGGCATGTCTCCAGTGGCAGCTGTATTAAAGAATCATGCGTAAAACTTTATGGCAAAAAAGAACTATGCAGAAGTCTCTCTAGAAAGAAGAGATTTCTGTTGATGAGTTACCCATGATCCCTACTACATGAACCATCTCACAGGCCTGTAATATCACAACTACATGCATTATCTTACTAACTTTCATTTCTACACTCTAAAATGAATCATCTAAACTGATCTAGCATGTGGTCCCACCAGCCAGAACAAAGCTCGTGAAAGCTTCCACATGGCTCTTTGCAAACACAGGGAAAAGTGTTAGAAAAATGCTGTCTGAGCATTCACTCTAATTTCCTGTTGGTACAGTTCTACAAAAAGATGGTGCTCCTGGTGCAGCCATAAAGGGTAATATGCTATGGCTGTCCTCTAACAGCTGACAAAGGAGTCAGCTTTCTCCTCTTCTGTAACAGCACCAGCCCTACCAACAATCTGGCAGCTCTGGAAAACTGGTGAGAGCTGCTGTTGCCAAAATGAAAAGGAACATGTGCATAGTGAACAGGAACACATTCCTTCAGCAGGAGGACCACAAATGGGATGCCCAGGCACTAACAGGCAAGAGAAAGGAGTGGCTGTTACACAGGAAGAGGTGTAGCCATGCAGTAAAGGAGAATGCAAAAGTTCACCCTCTGAGCCTGCCAATTTTGAGCTCTCCCATGCTAAATGTAGATCTGAAATCTGATCTGCAATTCAGAACTGATACCTTTCTGATATATGCACCTCATTTCTATATTTCTAAAATACTTTGCTCCTACACTATGTGTTTCAACTTTCAAGCACTGTGAGAGTCCTAAGTGCCTGTCTTGTCTGACATACAAAAAAAATTATAAAAAAAAAAGTATTCCCCCCCCCAAAATCTTAAGCAAGTATTTGCCCATTCAACTCCTAAGTAATCTGTATCATCAAATAACACAACATCCACTTTTGTCATAAAAACAATATAAAAGAAAATTTCAGGGGCTACTATTCTCAAAGCAGTATTACTCATTACATACTTAAAGCGTCAGCAAAACAAATTGCAAAAATAAAATCATAGAATCACAGAAAGGCTTTGGTTGGAAGTGACATTAAAGATCAATTAGCTCCAACCCCCTGCTGTAGGCAGACAAAAACAGTTTGTGGGAGGCTGGCAGGTAGAGCAGTAAAGCAACATCATACAACATCAGGAGAAAAAAAATGAACCGAATCCAAATCCTCAATTTAAAAAATGTATACATCCATATACTACTGATCTTTTATAGTTTGTGCCCTGTGTTGAATCGCAGCCACATCTCAACCCCCCCCCCACCAGCTTCAGCAGCCTGCTCCCCCCTCACAGCCCAGCTGGTCACAGGGCACAGAGCTGCCAGCTCAGCTGCGGCAGGGAGCTGATCTGCTGGGGCTGGGCAGGGAAAGAACTCAGTGGAGGACAGCCTTGGAGCAGGGCCCAGCAGCTTTGGTCTTCTCGTGTATCACCGAATGAATTAACCCTTGGTTTGAGTTCTTCCCATCTGCCAACAGCCCCAGCTATGTCAAGGAGACATAACTTCAGCTTGGTATTATCAAAAAATGGAGTTTTAGAGTGTCTCTAGGCTCACTGGCCACATTACATGCATTTCATAAACACTACCAAAAGAACTACCTTTCTCTATCTTCAAAAAAGGAAAAAAAAAAAGATCATCTTGGACCTCATTAAAAATCCAAGTGAAGCATTTTGTAGATCAGGTCACAGGGAAAGACCCATTATCCAGGTCACCTCCACCTGGCAGCACCAGCTGCTTTGCTGCCTGTGCCTGTTCTCTCCTCAGATGTTTGCCAACTTGCTGCTATGAGAAGGACTCTGCAATAAAATACTTACCACACACTGAAAAAATCACTATCTCAGCTGGGATCAGCAAGCACACAGTAAGCAACAAGACAGCGCATCAGTAGTTTGACCAGCTTCCAAAGTGCCCAGCCCTGCCTAACAACTGCCTCACTTATGAATCTACAAGTGTGGTAACAATTATTTTGGTGCTATAGACCGCCACAGTAACATTTGTTTTATTGCTAAGTGATTATTTCTAATTCTGCAAGATTTTTTGTAATAGCTTTAAATATTATAATAAAGTACTGTTTCTCTTCAAATAGACGTTAGTAAAAACAAAACAGACTTTAAAAAGGAAGGACAGAAAACCCTTAAAAAATTCATACTGTTTAAGTCTATTAATAAGTAGATGTACTACATAGAGTACCTTCTATGAATAATATTAATAGACTTCATCATCTGAGACAAAAAACCCACACCTTGGTCCAGACCAGCATGTCTGTAAGAACAGCGTTCATTTCTAGTGTAACTGCATGGGGCTTTAAAAGCATTGCTGCATACCAGATACAGGGCTGAGCATGTTAACCAACCTGGAATTGTTGCATTTCCCCTAGCACACTGACCCACGTCATCCTTTCTTTTTTTTCCCCTCTTAAAATTGCAAGGGGAAAAAGCCTTCAAAAACCTACTTTTAGTTGAGACTTCGAGAAAGTTATTAGCAGGAAAACAAAAATTACATTTAGCAGAGCACAGTTACCTTTTAAGTTAAGCTCTGAGAAGTTAAAAATTACAGATGCCATAAAAAAAAATAATAATAATAAATCCAACACTTATTAATAGCAATCTCTTGAAAAAAATAACTTTCTGAACACTAGAGAGCATCCCTACACTGGAGTTCTTATAGTGGCTTCCCAGGAGAAAAAAATGTGATACATGCTGTGCATTAGTGTATCTACTCCCTTCCTCTGAGTCATAATGACAGGACTAAATTACCAGAGGGCTTTAAACTTCACCACTAAACCAGCTAAGCAAGGCATGAATCACTATTCCTCTGAGCATAAGAACACAAAATATGGACTCGAGAAGATAAGTATCTTCAGGCTGATGAAAAAATAGATGCCGGCACCGAGCAGCACGTAGGTACCGGCTGCAAACTGGTTAACGTTACAGCTCGGCCAGAAGCAATTGACGAAGCAGAAAGGAACTGACTAAATCACAGCATGACTTGGGGCTGACGTCAATGTGTATCTTGTTTGGAGTTTAACTTTTCCAGTTCCCTACTGCAACACGATTCCAGGAAGCCTAATGACGTCAGCCTTTTGAACTCAATTAGCAGAGGAACAGACCATTTCAACAGCGGAGGAGAAAACACGCAGACGTTGCAGTACTTAAAACTGCTGCTTTTCTATCTGCTTATGTTCATTGTTTTCCTTAATAAGGAAAGTAAAAGGGTTTATTTACACAACTGTAACAGCATACACCTTTCTCTTACAGCTATGCTTGAGCCTATTCTAGCTATTGAATCTACAGAGGTCTATTGCTAAACAAAAAAACAGTGTCATTTCTACAAAACAAAATACACAATGACAAACATAGTCACTATCCATATTAAAGGATTTCAAAGAGCGGTGGATTTTTTCAACAGTATCTTCCACCAAACATAAAAGATTCATTACCTGCATCAATCTGTGCAACAACTCACATACTAATTTCTTTCCCCAAATTAAACTGATAAAATTACACTGAGACCAAACAGTGCCCAGACAGAACCAGAACCCACCTGTGTCAATTGTGAGAGATTAAAGAGTTACAGCAACAAGTTGAAAAATGTCACAAACACCACCTAAGCACTGCTTAAACAGCCACAACATGCAGTAAAAGACTAATAAACATTTACCTGTTTCATCTCCTGTAACAGCCATGCTCAGCCCCTGCACGCACAGTTCTCCTGCTCCTCTCCCAGAGCTCAGCATGAACTGTTCCAAACTAGCAAGCATGTGCAGGATTACAAGCAAGAGCACTGACATCACAGTGACCTCACTTGCCTACCACTGTCATTAATATGCTCTGTCACTGGAACAGCTCACTGAAAGTGCAGCCCAAACAACTGCTGCTTTTCCAGTAAACGTTTGGTTTTTTGTTTTTTTTTTTTTTTCCCCTTCCGTATTTCTGTAAGCCCAGCTTTGTTCTCTTCCCTTCAATTATACATAAAGCTACAGAAAGCACTCACCACAGAGCTGGCTGTAAAACTAGACCAAGATACGCAGAACTGACTGACAGAAATTAAAAGTGACTCCAGAACTCATAAATGATTCAGAAGGATTAAATCACAATTGGACAGCAAACAGCGAAATTTTAAAGGGACACGTGCAATTGTTTTGGTTTGAGCAGCTCCACCAGAAGGCAGAATTCTGACAGACGTGTGAGGCAGGAGTGCTTAACAAGCTGTAACAAATACGTAAATGAAAGGCTAAATACGGCTTCTCAGGGGGAGGAAGGGGAAGGAAGGGGAAGACCACAGCCCACTCATTTCAATTAAAAGCTTCAGAAGAGACTGAAGAAAACTCCAGGGATTTCAGGCACTCTATCAGGCAGAACAGTAACCCTGAATAAGGGCAACCCCTTCACCTGTCCCCTCCTTTTTAAGAAAGTACAAGGGAACTGGCTGGCTTATGAAAATAAATAAATCAATGAACAAGCATCTCAGCTTTATGAAAGCTGTTGCTTCAAATCCACAGTGCAGGCACTTTTCTGCACACAGAGCACAGCGAACTTCTAAAGCCTTTGTCTGTGATAAACTAATTTAGACTGGTAATTCATCAGTTGTGGAACTACGCCAAGGACAGCAAAAATGAAAGCATCGGTGCAATGAAGGATTCTCCTTGTCATTCTGGGACCACTTCAGTGTCATGTGAACAGAACATCAGAACTGAAGTACACCAGAAATACCAGAAAAGTCATTCCTTATAGTTTAAAATATAAGTGGCTCACAGACCAGAAGCAAGGTGTGTTTATGGCTATTTTTGTGTTTCTGAGTTAAAAGATCTCTCAAATATTTCATGTTACGAAAACACACCTTGATCTCAACAGAATACCATTTGATGCAACTTTCCAAAACTCATTTTCACTAATAATTACACACTTCATTTCCTTCAGCTGGCAGAAAAACCCTGGATCCATCTTAGGAAACCATCATGACATCAGAACTGCCCAGTTTTTCCAATGAACGTAAATCAGTAGCTAACAACATATCACTCCGTTGGATCACCCAGGGATCTCTGCCCTTTTATATTCATCCTTCAATTTCATCACAAGTCCCCAAAAAAATATCAAGCATGGGTTGAAGTTGAAAGTGTACTAAGAAGAATGTTATTTTTCTATTATAATCTACATTATCACCATATTAGGTGCACAGGGAACTACCAAGTGTGCACTAACAACAGATGTTCATAAATTATATACCTACAGACTTTGACATACCAAGCAATGTGACCCACAGTAAGGACCTGCCAGCCCATTGTTTCACTCCATTGCGAGTAACTGAGGTTTGCTGATGATATGTGCTTAGCAGAACAAGATCTCTCTTAGCTTAAACATTCTCAGGTGTTTCCATACTTTTTTTTTTTTAATTGTGTTCCAAATGATTTTTCAGTACCAGAGTGTATGTCTTTCGATTGTGATCATTTGAGCTCACACCCACTTACTATTCCCTTTGAATTTTTTCCTTTACATTTTATCTTCAGTGTCAACAACTGTAAGCCTCACTAAAGCATCAGATTTTGGGCCAAATGAACTCTAGGAAACTCAAGAAAAATTCAACTTCTCTAAGCACGAACAGAAAACAATTTAGTTGTAACTAAAACATCTAGAAGCTTCCAGAAGCAGACACAGCAGCTATTCAGTTACCGTTTCTGGACCCATTTTGAAAGCTTTCATTGCAAGTGAGACACACTCAAAGATGCCAGAATGGGAAATTTGGACAGAGAAAAAACAAATTTGGGTCTTTAGGCTTTGCTAAGAACATATTCCTGGTAACACTTTAGGCAGATATAACAATGCTGTATGCACTGTGAAGGCCAACATTTCATTTCAGGGTTCTTCATATTACAGTTTTAAACTTTCCTTGAAATGCTTTTTAAAAGTATTAGAAAGGCATCGTATTTCAGCAAATAATTAACCAGAGGCAACAGAAAAAAAAATCAGATTTGGTACCACTATTTAGTACAGTCTCAAGAAGTTCAAGTATTTACAAGCTACTAGCTTTATTTACACCCTGAGTTGCTTTTACAGCTAAGAAAGAAAAACAACCACTTAAAGACAAAACCTACTCTAAACATCTATACTAGGGTGAAAAAATCCTTAACCTGGACTTCACCATTTATCTTAAACTAGAATAAGGTTGGTTTAGATTAGATCCAAAGGAGAAAATCTTTACTCAGAGAGTGGTGAGGTACTGGAACAGATCACCAGTGGAGCTGTAGATGCCCCATCCCTGGAGCTGTTCAAGGCCTGAGCTTTGGGCAGCCCACTCTAGTGGGAAGTATCCCTGCCCCCTGCAAGGAAGTTGGACTAGAAGATTCTGTATCCATCTGTATGTAGTCAATGACCCTCATCCATTCCATGAATACATATTTAGCATATGGCTCCATAGCAACCATTATTTTAGTGTCTCTATACAGACAGAAGACCTTGTACCTGTTTCCAGAAAGTTTTCTGAAAGTAACTTAAAATCCCAACTTTACTTTCCTTGCTATTGGTTAGAATCCAAGACATGCTTGGTTCTTTATCTCCTTCAGCACTTCTGAATGGATGGAAACAGTGAACAGAAAGAAAATTCTAGATAAACTACAGAAAGGATTAAGAATTCACTGTATTCACATGTGTACATTTTACAGAACCTAAAAAGTAGAAGAATTCAGGGAGAAAATTAGCTTCAAGAGAGGATATCCTTTTTAGTAACAGAAAGTTAAAAGTTGCAAGGAAATTCTGCCCTAAAAATAGCCTTACAGACTTACAAGTTACTTCAGAACCTGTGTTGTGTGTAGACTGAAACTGCTGGAAAAAAAACAGAATAGTTTTATGTATTAAATGAGATACAGTTTGAACTCAGATGATGAGGCTGCAACAGTGTCTTTACTTCCATTAAACATGTCACTTGAAGTCTGAACAAGGAAATTAAAAGCAGAGGGTAATTTTATCCTGTTATTTCCTTCTCATAGCTTTTTTGATCCACAGAAATGGCTGCTTCCCCAAAAACAGAAAAACAGTCTCCTTCTAAGACTCTCTTCTATCTTGGTATACATAAACATTTCATAGTGCAATACTGTGAACACAAAATGAAAAGTCTAGTAAGAATAAATGTTTCATATGAAAAAAATGCAGTAGACTAATAAATTATACCTCGAACAACAAGTTGGCTTCCAGGAACAAAAAACTGTTGTGTACTATCAGATGACTGTGCTGTATATTGCACAATGGTAGCACCCGGCTGAGGAGCTCCTGAGTTTGTCATTGTTAACGTCTGCAGCCCCTGGGCACCATCAGAAGGTGGATTAGAAATCTGGATTGTACCACCTGGAGTTATAGTAACTAAACATAAAAAGAAAAAGGCAGGTTAGGCAATAGAAAGATGTACAACATGCTGACGTGCATTTTCCTTTTGAAAATAAACATAGTTTGCTAAGACTGCTTTTTTGTTTGCTAGTTCCCTGTTTGATTAAGGAGCAATTGTATTTAAAAAAAAAATTAATTGTACAACCTTAATGCTGCTATCCTCAAATATAATGCCTGTTATGTAGTACATGTTATACATCTAACAGGAAAAAAAAGCAACAACTAAAAAAACCAACAGAAGCCCACACATTTCCTCTGTATGTTCAGCAATATTAACGGTCCTATAATAGTTTTAATACAAAGGGAAAACAAAACAAAATAAAAAAAAGACTAGTAACTCCTAGCCATGAAGAACTGCAGTTTTAAATAATAGTATTAAAAGGTTATTTAAAAAAAACTTTATCAAATCACAACATAAAACCAAGGTTTTTAGAGAAGAACAAGAATCCCGCACTCATTCTGCCTCCTTTCCTTAGTTTAAGTGGAAGTTCAGGCCATCAACATTTTTCCAAGTTCTATAAAACCATTCGGACTCTTACATAAAAAGAGAAACAGAATGAAGTTCTGTTTCCATGTGGTCAACAATAAGAAAAATACACTTTCCCCATTGTATAAAGATGTTATAATTACAGAATAAACAAGAGAATTTGGCTAAGCAGGTTATTATACCAAAAAGAGAATAGAGTGCTTACCCTTGTCCTAGGCTCACAGTAAAACTCCAAAGGAGGGATCTCCAGAAAGAGATCCTTCCCCACCAGTAGTCAGCTCTTAAATGGGTCTAGGAGAGGTGCAGCCAGGCTCCACCCCTTCCAGCAGCACAGGTGAACTGCCTTCACCTGTGCTCCCACAGCTGACTCCTTGCTCACCTCAGGTGGTCAATCAGAGGTTCAGACCCTGACTCAGCAGTTCCCATACACCCCATAAAAAATAATGCCATGTAATCAGCTGGTTAAATATTCAGACAAACACAACATTTCCTGCAGTTTGTTAATTGTATGTTCCTCTTGAAATTAACATTGTCCTCAGAAGAGCAGAAAAAAACATTCCTGGAACATTTAAAAGAGAACCCAATTCCCAAGAAGCTATGAACTTATTTCTCCCCTGAAAGCTACTTAAAATGACAAACATCATTGTATTTGAAGTGGTGTAAGAAACATTATACACAACTACTGATTCAGGACTGATAACTCCTTTGATTTTAGCGTCAGGTTCGCAATACTTGATGGTGACATTACTGACTGATCAGCTCTGGGCATCTGATGTGATTTGTTAGATATTCACACAAATTTTAGAGGTGGACAGTTGATAACAGATGATTTGTCTTGACAATAGTGGATTACTCAACTGTTTCTAGTAAATTGTAGGTAGTAATCTACTAACACCTCAGATAATTTCTTTAAAAGCATAAGGCCAAATCTCAGCAGCTAAGCAGTTTTCTTTTGGGGAAGAATGGGGAATTCCTCTCAGGCTGAAAGAAGCCCTGAACCTTATCTGCAACGAGTTCAGCATGGCCTCCTGTCCTACCCTTGGAGTGAGGAATACATCACATTGAACTGAATGCACACTACATGCAAGCTTCATAAGTCATAACATAAAAAGAAATAAGTAAGCAAGATGATGCCTTTATTTGCCCTTCAAAGCACAAGGTACCCTATTTGGGGATAGGTTAGAGAAAAGAGAAGTAAGAGAAACGGACTACTGTCTCTCTCTTGTTCATGACGTACAGGGCAATAGCAGGCTCTCAGTGGCACATGCACTTCCCAGCAGAATGCTACCACCACCTCCACCTCCCTGGGACGTTTACTTCAACACTGAACTCATACAAGAGTTAGCAGTATCCCTTTACCATCACAGCTGCATATCACATCAAATAAATTAATAGATATATAAAAATCAGTTCAACTGTCGATTCAGTTCATGACCCAGTACTTTCTGAACAACAGTGAATGTAACTTCGGTAACCATTTCCCCTACAGGACTGATTCCTATCATATTATGATCATGACACTCCTCTTCACCCTATTGACTATCCTAACCCCAACCACAACGCAGGTATTTCTTGTGTTGGACCTTTGCACAAAATTGTTGCTTCACAAAAGACTATAGAATATTCCCAGACGTTCCCTGGTCTTGTACATGATGCAGGTGGATATAAGTGGCAGCTTCTCCTCTAGCTAGAACTGAAGATGAAAATAACACAATTCTTTGAATATGATTAACACCTCTAATTCAGAAAGAGGTTAGATCTTCCCTTCTCTTCCAAGACAGGGAAAAGAAACTAACAGCTGCTCTTTCCCAGTACATTTCCTAATTCTTCAATTGCTAAAAACCCAGCCTAAGACAGGTCCAAATAGATGGCAAAAGAACTTGTTACTTTCATTTACCCTGCATTGCTCCTGGAAGAACATTAGAAATTGCACAAAGAGGCAGAAAGGAAGGGGGGGGCAGTTGATTCTCTCTCTCTCTCTCTCTCTCTCTCTCTCACACACACACACACACACACACACACACACACACGTGTGCACATATACCTCCACAAAACAACTATGCAAAAAACTCTTGCATGTTTAGGCCACCACCACAGGTGAAGGAAAACAATTTTTTTCCAGTATTCAATAACCAGTATGATAGAACTACAGCCAGTAGAGTCATTTTGTAGCCAAAACAGGCTACATGGCTTGCACCTTATGAAAAGATACATATTTTCCTTACAGAAAGATCAACATCCCTGTTGACGGATGTAACAGGGAAAGATATTCTTTCTGGCTGGTCATGCCCGTCAGTCCGTCTGCTTCCACAAGTCAAAGCCAAGAAGTTCTAAGGAAAATGGTATTTGGAAACCATGGCAACACAGCTTTTTGGCTGGTGTAAAGTAAGTAAAAAACAGCTATCACCGCTGATAACAGAGAAAATATATTTGATTTTAAGATACATTTACTTATCCAGTTTTTCAAAAAATAACCATTCCATGTCTCCAGACACCAACATACAGTAAAGACCATCTTTTCATCTATTCT